TTAATTTGATGAGCGATAATAAGTTGCCATGAAAACGAGTTTCAAAACAAGTTTCTTTCCTTAATAATTCAGTTATATTCGAAATGAAAGGTACTTTACAACAAAAATCAAATAAACACAATCTTTGCATAGGCATCATACCATAATCCATGACTTGTTCTTGGCTAGGAGATCCATGAAGTATAAGACAGCCGGCAAACATGATAATCAATCATTGATGTAATCGAATTTTAAATGCTAAAACTTACAAACCAATCAACAGTCAGTTAATATATCAGTTCACAAAAGTGATAACACCCAGTAATTTAACTGTCACCTAGTTTTAAGGCATGAGAGTTAAACTCAGATACAAGCTCTAAAGGTGAAGTTGAACAAAGAACCAGCGTACAAAGTAAACAAAGGAAATCCAGCTATCATGATAAATACACAACCACGAAGGATAACACTCAACGGATGTCATCGATACCAAGTGAGAACATCGCTCTGTTTAGCGAAACAAAAGAATCACACCAACGGAGCGAAAGGCAAAGTTCAAATGAAATTTCCCAGGAGAGCAAGGAGTGTTGTGTCACAGTATTTACGCGTCGGCCAAAGCAACTGTGACCGTCCATATTCTATCTCTCGAGTTTTTTTAAATCTCTTTCTTCCCGATCACACACTAGTGATAAAAAGCATATCTAGATTACGGTTGAAAAAAAAAAAATGCCGTCGGCCCTGGATAGCCTTACCTGGCAGCGCCTGGGAGGAGGACATTAACCATCCAAGCGTGGCAGACTCAGATACCATCACCATTATTGGTTCAGCAGATATTATCCTTAATTGTGTTTGAAATACGGGGGTCATATTGCATGGAAAGAACTTCATTAATGACCATACACTGACTCTATCACTCCTTTAATCTGTTCACTGAACCTTTACAGAAAATGAACCTGGATCCCCTTTTAACCGTATACCCATAAGCTGATCGATACACATGATTATATTTCACCTAAGAAAATTTACCCTTTAGTAAGGGGCCATGTCTAATTAAAGATTTACATTATCAATGTGGGGGAATGCGAGAGGCAGAGAGAGAGAGAGAGAGAGAGAGAGAGAGAGAGAGAGAGAGAGAGAGAGAGAGAGAGAGAGAGAGAGAGAGAGAGAGAGAGAGAGAGAGAGAGAGGGAGGGTAGAAGGAGAGGGAGAGGGAAAGGGAGAGAGAGAGAGAGAGAGAGAGAGAGGGACGGGGGGAGAGGAAAAGGGAGGGAGGGAGGGAGAGAGAGAGGGACGGGGGGAGAGGAAGAGGGAGGGAGGGAGGGAGGGAGAGAAAGAAAGAAACAAACAAAGAAAGAGAGAGAGAGAGAGAGAAAGAGAGGAAGAGAGAAAGAGAGAGAGAGAGAGAGAGAGAGAGAGAGAGAGAGAGAGAGAGAGAGAGAGAGAGAGAGAGAGAGAGAGAGAGAGAGAGAGAGAGAGAGAGGGAGGGAGGGGAGGGAGGGAGGTAAGGAGAGAGGAGGGAGAGAGGAAGGAGAGAAAGAGAGAGAGAGAGAGAGAGAGAGAGAGAGAGAGAGAGAGAGAGAGAGAGAGAGAGAGAGAGAGAGAGAGAGAGGAGGGAGGGAGGTAGGGAGAGAGGAGGGAGAGAGGAAGGAGAGAAAGAGAGAGAGAGAGAGAGAGAGAGAGAGAGAGAGAGAGAGAGAGAGGAGAGAGAGAGAGAGAGAGAGAGAGGGGAGGGAGGGAGGTAGGGAGAGAGGAGGGAGAGAGGAGGGAGAGAGGAGGGAGAGAGGAAGGAGAGAAAGAGAGAGAGAAAGAGAGAGAGAGAGAGAGAGAGAGAGAGAGAGAGAGAGAGAGAGAGAGAGAGAGAGAGAGAGAGAGAGAGAGAGAGAGAGAGAGAGAAAGAGACTCCAATAGATCTACAGCCGTGACAATGACCTTAGAACAGCTAAACTAACCCTTATTGCTCGTAAATAATTTCCATGCTGTTATTCTGATGTCTTTGTGTAAAATTATGTTTTGTTTAGAATAAAAATGTTAATTAGAAAATGCTTATTCTGAATCAATAAGTCCGTTATCGCTATTATTATCGATATTCAAATGTCT